TAAAGGCATGATATGAAGGTGATAAACGATGATAACTTAAAAAGGTATAAGAGGGAGTTTGATTGGCAGTAGTTCTAGTGGCTTTTCGTAGAGCAATGGGGAGATCAATGACATTTGATGAGTGCTCAACCGAAGCATGAGACATTGTTAGAGAAGGCAATGAGTCACCCGGTGAGCTTTATGTACCTGCATTAGGATCAAAAACATCAACTGGATTAGTAGGTTGAGAATTAGGTCGAGGGCGTCTAGAATAGATTTGGAGTGGTGGAGCTGGAGTTGGAGGCGAAAAGGTTGGAACTGGAAGAACTATGGATATGGCCTTTTGATTTAATGAATTAGGAGAAAAATACGGGGAAGTCTCAAAAAAGGTAACATCTGCTCAGATTAAGTACCTATTTTTAGAGGGATCAAAGCATTTGTATCCTTTTTGTAGACCAGAGTACCCTAAAAAGACACATTTGATAGCCTTTTGCTGAAGTTTGTCTTTTCCCGGGGTAAGGTCATGAACAAAACAAGTACAACCAAACACACGTGGAGGAAGTGGGAACATAGGTTGTTCGGGATAAAGGACTGAGTGTGGACTCTTGTACTGCAAAACAAAGGAGGGCATGCGATTAATTAAATAACAAGCAGTAATAACTGCATCACCCCAAAAACGTAAAGGAATATGACCGTGAATAAGTAATGTCCTAGCCGTTTCAATGAGATGTCTGTTCTTTCGTTCCACAACTCCATTTTGTTGTGGAGTATGTGCACAAGAAGACAAGTGTAATATACCTTGTGATGGCATGAAGGAAGAAAGAGAAGAAGAGAAGTATTCTCGGGCATTATCACTGATTAATTTCTTTATGGAAACACCAAATTGATTGCGAATCTCAGTACAAAAGTTCTGAAAAATAGAGAACAATTCAGATCTGTTTTTCATTAAAAATAACCAGGTGCACCGAGAATAATCATCAATAAATGTAACAAAATAATGAAATCCTAGTGAAGAACTGAAACGACTTGGACCCCATATGTCCGAGTGAACAAATTCAAACATAGAGGATGACCTATTATTGACACGCTTTGGGAAAGAAGCACGAGTGTGTTTCCCAAGCTGACATGATTCACATTCTAACAAAGATAAACTAGATAGACTGGGGACCATCTTCTGCAACTTTGAAAGACTTGGATGTCCCAATTGACAATGAAGCAAATCAGAGGAAATAGCGGAAGTGAAGGCAACTGGTGGTTTTGGAATAGATAGTTTGTACAGACCGTGTGACTCATGTCCTCTTCCAATCACCTGTCCCGTACTCCGGTCCTGCACAAAAACAGAATCCTCAAAGAAGATTATAAGACACTTAAGGTTCTTGGTTAATTTACTAATGGTAATAAGATTATACAGACACTCAGGTGCAAAAAGAACTGAGGTTAAAGGTAAAGAAGGTAGAGGGTGAGCTGCACCTATTCCTTTGATAGTAGTCTTTGATCCATTAGCTAAGGTAATAGTAGAAAAGACAGATGGAGAATTAAGGTCAGACATAAATTTTTTGTTACCGGATATATGATCAGTAGCACCAGAGTCAAGAATTCATGGTCCAGGAAAGGAAGACTGTGCGACATAGGCAAAAGAGTTACCAGGTTGCACTGTGCAAGCTGTAGATGAGGTAGATGACTGTTGCTTTGATGCCTGGTACTGAAGATAATCATTATAATCTGCTCCCGTCAAAGTGATAGAGTGAGATGATCTATCCTTGACATCTGGTGTAGGTAGAATACCATCTCCGCTGTGAGCCACATTGATTGCATGTCGAGGACGATCATTGTTACGTGGAGGCTTACCATGAAGCGACCAACAAACATCACGTGTATGTCCTCCCTTATTACAGTATGTGCAATGTTTAGTGCTTTTCCCTTTTCCTTTTTTGGGTCCATTTTGAAAAGTGTTAGTTTGTACAGCCATTATAGAAGTATCATATGAGTTTACCTTCGGTGTAGATGTGATGCGCAACAATCTGGCAGATACTTCCTCCAAGGCAGGAATAGATGCGCTAGCAAGAATCTAGTCTCGAACTGAGGAGAGATCAGATCTTAACCCAATCAAGGCTAGAACACTGTCTCTCCTGAACATCCAACTTGTCAGTAAAAGGCATAAGAGAATCAAATTGATCCTTTAAGGATTCTACCTGACCAAGATAGCTTGCCATGTCTTGTTGATTCTGTTGCAGGTGGACAATGTCTGAGACTATCTTGTAAATAAGTTGTATGTCATTTGTATACAAGGTTTTGGCCTTGTTCCAAACCCCGCAACATGTCTTACATGACTGAAAAAGATTAACTAACTTACTGTCAAGAGAGTTTCATAGAAGACTGCATAATTGAGCATCTATTTAACCCAAGTTGGTCTATCAGATGCTCCAATCTCCGTATAATTCTTGATCAAGTGATCTTCATATCCTTGACCTATAAACCACAGTTGTACAGAAGCTGCCCAAGAGGTATAATTTCCACTTCCATCCAACTTAACGGTAGTAATTATTGGAGACGGTGAAGAGGAAAAAATCGACTTTCCAGTAATTTGATTTTCAACTGCTATATCATCTCCCATTGTTGTATTTATTACACAGGAACTGCTGAAAGTAGTGGATGAGAGTAACTACAAAAACAAGAGAAATAGGAAGAAATAGAGAAAACTGAAGAGTCGACCAAGGAGGATCTGGTTCTTCTATAGTCTTTAATTCAAGGAAGAAAAATGAGATGGAGCAGGGACTAAAAACCCTAGCTCTGATACCATGAGAAAGAAGAAGAGAAGAAAAATGGTGCATAGAGTGCTTGATTATTCCCTCAAGCTGTTGGGTTTAAATAACCTTTGATAGAAATACAAATAAGGAAAGACTACAATTACAAGCCTACAAAATCTCCTAATTACTTAATTATAGGGATTTGTGTGATTACAGGGATTTGTGTATCTTTTTATATTTACATAGTATCAATTCTTGCCATATTTAACAGGATCAAAAGATCTAAAATCAAACTAAAGTCAAAAGGTTACTATTGACAACCCCTCCACAACCAAAAAAATAAAAGAAAGGAAGGATCAGGGCAGGGCAGGAGCCCCGGTATACTGGAGTTATTGGTAACCGCGAAAGGAAATGAAATTTTGAGGAAAAGGGTTTGGAGTTGGGGCTGTCATGTCCGGGGAATGATCTTTTTGAATTGCTTTTAGTGATGTCAAACTATAATTGCCTAATTGACGAGGTATTCCAGATTTCCCGTGGAGAGCATAATGGAAGTCTACGTGGTGTGCTTCTTGGGAGCAATCTTTGCTGCAGACAACTTAAGAAGGATAATACATATTGCAGTTAGCTAGTGTTGTTTTTGTGAGGATTGTGGAAGATGTTGACCACGTTCTCTTGTATTGCATGTTCACTATAGTTTTATGGGAGCGAGAGAAAGTGACAAGTCGGACAGTGTGCCATTTGGACTGAACTTAAAAAAGAGACGGAAGATGGCACTTTTGTATCTTTCGGTTGCTATGGAAGGAAAGGAAGAATAGGACCTTTGAAGTTTGAAAATTGAGAATCCGATACTAAGAGTCAACATCTCTCTACTTGTATGTGTGGGGTAAGGAGTAATGTCCTTGTTGTATAGAGAGATGGATGGATTGTGGGACCTCTATTTCACGTTATATTAAACCGCCTTTGATTAGTTAACACCATTGAGTGTCATCCTTTTGTCACTTGTTTATCTGGTTTATCAAAAATGAATAAATAGGCCATGAGAAGTGATTGATTCTCGCCTTAAAGTGCCTTGGTCGGTGCTCCATTAATTGAAGCACTTAAGCCTTCACGTTGCTCTGAGAGAGAAGTCCTTTTAACATATGTTATAGGGGTGATCTATCTGTCCTAGCATGATTTGAGCATAATTTATTATTGGGACTTTTGACCTTCCTCACCTTTCCATATATGGTCATATTTTGCTAGCCAGATGAGATGATACCTGCCAGCAAATTCAAAAGCCTGTTATTTTTTTTTATTTGATAAGGTAAATGTTCTATCCGTACAAAAGAATCTGCGCACCAAGTGCCGGGCCATACAAAATTATTTTTGTATGGAGCTAATGAAGTCTATCGTGTCACGTTTTTTTTTTTTTTCTTTTTTTGGTTGAGAAAAAGGTAAGTCTGTCATGTTGCTATCCTCGTATACACTTTCAAACTTGCACCAAAAAGCCAAAAGACCTGAACATTTCAATTACAAAAATATTTATTGCAAAAGCCCTATCCTCAAAGCATCTACAATTTCTTTCCTTCCATATGGTCTATTCTATACAGGCAAGAACTGTTCTCCAAATCTTCCTTAGCTCCTTGTCTCCCTTGTAGCTCCACCAGCTAGCAAAGAGGTCCTATCACAGACCATGGCATCACCCACTGCTTACCAAAAATACTTAAGAATAACTCCCATATGTTTATTCTTAAAGAAAGAATATATCCCATATTTTTCTAGCAAATGGGCAATGGAGGAACAAGTGGCTGCTGTTTTCCTCTTCCTCACCGCACATACAGCATCTGTGTCATATGGCAATTACTCTTTTCTTTATGCATCGTCAGTGAAAATCCAGCAGAAGCATGCAACTTTATGTGGTATTAAGAGATATGAATCTTATTTGCTTGTTTTTAGAACTTTATATGAAGTGCACTGAGATATTGTGTTATAGTGATTTAACGTTCAAAGTACCTGAGATTTGTCACTGTCTTGTCTCATTCGGTTTCTCCTAGCTCCATTTAGGGACTGAAGGCAGGTGTTGGTTTCAGGTCTGTTAGGTTAGGACTTATGAAACTGATTTTGATTAGTTAAACCAGTATTGAATAATATTGTTTTATTTGATTTTTACACCTGATAACAACATATTGATTGTAAACCAAATATCTGGCTTTGCCCTTTTTCCCTTTCCTCCTGTCAATATGATTAAGCTTGATAAGAGCTCAGTTTCTCACATGTACATTTTCTTTCATGCAGCCTGTTTCAAGCAAGGGAAAGCCTTCTAAGCTGCTCAAAAGAAAGCATCAAATAAGTACTTTGTACTTTGACATGAAACAAAAAGAAATGGAGCTGCAAGAGCGACGTGCCAAGGGGATGCTGACAAAAGCTCAAACTCAGGGGAAATATGGTTGGTGATATTTAAGTGAGGTTCTTTGTGGTCTCCTATTGACTCGGTGAACTAGCAACTTCCCTTTGTTTGCTCATCAAATTTCTGATCTGTATTCCTTCCCCTTGTTTAAATGTTATTGATAGTCCTTTGTTGGCTTTGAAAGCATTGTAGTGTTGTAATATTTCTGCAATTTTAGTGCGAATGCTAATGGTTCTGTAGGTTCCTTTAAATCAAATACCATAAAATGAAATGGTCTGTTAAGAAATTGTTGATTGCATCTCCGTGAATGATACATTTATATGCTTGACTGATGCAAGATTCAACCACTTGTAAATTCTTAATGACAGAGAACGTTGAGAAACATAGCCATTTGAGGCAAGAGAACCGATGCTTACTAATGCAGAAGAAGTTGACAAATGAAGACCATTTGACCCTCATTACAAGTTACTGTTTCTAATACACCAAGTTAAGCTCCAGAAAACGCAGCATAGGGAAATAATGACAAAGTCACAGTTGTGGCTAGTTGCATCCCAATATAGATAACTGCTCAGTGGGTTTTAGTCTTGTGCTAGTGCGCGTGAACTGCAGCACATAATAATGGTAGGGCTTGCAGAAAATTATCTCCTTCCAAGATAGCTGTTATGAAGTATACAGCAGTCCCATAGATGCCTATATGATTTCTTCGTAGCTATAGCAAATCTGCCAATTGGCAATAATTAATAGTAGAATGAGGTTCACAATATCAGAGAAATTACAGATAAATAATAATAGCATATTTGAAAGTGTTTTGATATATAATATTGAAGTAACAATATTATGAAGGTAACTCTATGGCTGCTGTAATTCCTTGGAGAGTAACAATACCAGAATTCCTTCTTGAGTAGTCTCCTCTCCTTGTAAGAATTTGGAGAAAAAGCAAAATAGCCTTCAAGGATCATATCCACCAGCATTCTATCGACCTTTGATATTTTAGGAAATAGGAAACCGTCCTAGCAAGTCAAGACACAGAAATGAAGTCAAATAACTTGTGAATGCTGCACTAGGAAAAGTATACCGAACATGCAACAAATTAAACTAGTGTACTTCCCATGTTTTTCTTTAAACATCAACCTAACTTTGTGACAGATCTTTTCTTGGAAGAGGAGAGATTATTACTAGTATTATTGGGTTTAGGAGAGACAACTTAATTTGAAGCCTAACATGTAAAATGTTTTGAAAACCCAATTAGCAGCTCAATAACTCTGACCTTTTGGTGTATTGGTTAATGAAATGAGTTTGAGAATCATGAGGTCTCAAGTTCAAATTTAAGTGGAGGCAGAAATACTAGGTGATTTTTTTTATTTCTCCTCACCTCGGTGGACGTAACTACCCAGTACCTACGCTGATGGAAAGTAGTAGATACCTTGTGCGATTAGTCGAGGTGCGCGGAAGCTGACTCGAACCGTGACTCTAAAACAAAACTTATGGTAGAATGCAACATTTCTAAATAGAAATCTACGCACACCACTACCCCTATGAAACATGCAACTAATATCTGTAACAACCCTTAAGGATTTAGGTTATTTTTGTCATATAAAGTCAAGGACCATCATCTCATCCCAAAATCAGTTACTACTACTTAGTTAGTGGAGACAGATAATTTTATGTAAAATTCTCCTAGATGAAAAATGCAACTATAAGAAGCAAAGAAAAAGTGTAGGGATGGACAGCGACAATGTAATTTGGAGAGAGGAAACATGGCACATAACCTGCCAACTTCAGATCCCTCGGATGAACATTTCCCTCACTTCCCATTATTTACGAAAAGAAAGCAGACTATAGCCAGCAGAGAGAACAACCTATATGCACTCCAATATATATATATTTTGGTATTGAACATTATGAAGTGGTAATGTATTGCCAATACGGAGGATTCTTATGAAATTGATTTTATTAAACCTTACTACATATTTTTAATAAGAATTTAATAGATAAAATTTTATTAATTTTTAAATTGTAAATATTAAAAATTAGCAAAGAAGGTATTGTACTCCAGAAAATAGGTTATTGCAGTTATGTCATTACCCTATGAGTTCTTTCGCTTAATATTTTAGGTTTTTGATATATTAATATCGTATTTATGCTTTTATAACAATATAGGCTTTACTTTTTCTAATGAATTTGGACAATATAATACATTCTCAAATTAAATTTATAATAGGACATTATAATACATTTTTCGAATTAAATTAGTAATAGAAAATTTAAGAAGTATATTCTAAAAGTAATAGGATTACATAACTAAAGATATTTACTTGTTCAATTTTATATGAATTAGACAGCTCGAAAGTAATTATACTAATAGGATTCCTAAAGGTAATCATGTAGGATTCCTAGCGTCTAGTATTATGTCCTAAAACTAATATGATTTTAAGGCTAATATCTAGAATTTCGGTGATGTCCTTTTATTATGAGTTATTATGCTAAATATTATAAGGTTATATTTGTAAACCGACATTGTATTCATGCTTTTATAATATTTTTCTACTCAAATAATATTTTTTTAATCAAACTTTTGTATAATATTGAAAAATACCCAATTATTAAACAACAACTGAGAAAATTAAAAATATAAATGTGTAAAAAGAAAAAAATGATCGTTAAGAGTCAATATCACTAATGATTATATAAACATAAAGATCTAAAAGTGAAATATCATATCAATCTTTTACTCTTTGAAAATAAAATTTATAGTGGATAAAATTATAATTAAGATTAAATATTCAAAACAAGAGATGAACTAATATTAAGATCTGAATCAACATAGAATAATTTATTTGTTATGTTAAAACCAAATAATTAAATCTTTTAATTAATTATTTAGTAAGAGAATCCAATTCAATTATTTTTTAAATTCACCATATGAGTAATGTTTTTTATTCAAGTTAAAGAAGTCTTAGGATACATAAATTTTCATAAAAAGAGCGTTAGAACACAAAGTAAAAAGGTTAGTATATTATTAAGAATCAAAACGCTATACAAGTGTATGAGGAAGCACAATCAAAACTAAATCATAATCAAGAACAAGCTTTCAAGACTAAATTATAAAGAGTCGACTCTGGTATAACATGATTATTTAGATGCCTCCGGCGGAATCGAAATAATATTTTTATGTCATACATTACTTGCAAATATCATATCAAGAGGCATGACACTATTAGCAATAATAGCAAGTGGTGTACCAACAACGATTTTATTGTGAGGACACCCACTTTAAATTTGATATACCTCTTCAAACAACTTAAATAACCATCACAAATATATCAATGCAGAGCAACAACAACAACAACAACAACAACAACAACCCAGTAACAATCCCACTAGTGGGGTCTGGGGAGGGTAGAGTGTACACAAACCTTAGTACCTTACTCCTACCCCTAAGGTTAGAGAGGCTATTTCCGGGAGACTCTCGGCTCAAAGACAAAAGATCTGTAACAACAACAAAAAACATACAAATAAGATCAGCACCGTAAGTGACAACAAATAAGTGGGAAGGACAATAATTATGGCAATAATAAAAATTGAAAATAAAATATAAAATGAAAGTAAAAAATAATAAACGAAAAATAGAAAGTGTGATGGAACAATAATCGCTAGCAGTCCTATATAAAACACTATCAGACTAGCCAGAACAACGAAGAAAAACGCTCAATTACCCCCTAACCTACAACTCTGATGCTCGACCTCCACACCTCCTTATCCAGAGTCATGTCCTCGAAAATCTGAAGCTGCGCCATGTGCTGCCTGATCACTTCGCCCCAATATTTCTTAGGCCGCCCTCTACCTCTTCTCGTACTTGTCAAATCCAACCGTTCACACCTCCTAACTTGGGCATCTAGGCTCCTCTTCCGCACATGCCCGAACCATCTAAGCCTCGCTTCCCGCATCTTGTCATCCATGGGAGCCACCCCCACCTTCTCCCGAATATCTTCATTGCTAATCTTATCCAGCCTAGTGTGCCCCCACATCCATCTCAACATCCTCATTTCGGCTACTTTCATCTTCTGGATATGAGAATTCTTGACTGGCCAACACTCAGCCCCATACAGCATGGCCGGTCTAACCACCGCTCTATAGAACTTATCTTTAAGTTTCAGTGGAACCTTCTTGTCACACAGAACTCCAAACGCTAACCTCCATTTTATCCATCTCACCTCGATACGGTGTGTGACATCCCCGTCGATCTTCCCATCTCCTTGGATAATAGACCCTAGATACTTGAAAATCTCTCTCTTAGGGATGACTTGCGAGTCAAGCCTCACCTCCCCGTCCGCTTTCCCTGACACATCGCTGAACTTGCACTCCAAATATTCTGTCTTGGTCCTACTCAACTTGAAACCTTTAGACTCCAGGACCTGCCTCCATACCTCTAGTCTTTCTTTGCCGCCTATCGTCTCATCAATCAGAACTATATCATCAGCGAACAACATACACCATGGCACCTCCCCTTGAATATGGTGTGTCAATGCGTCCATTACTAGGGAAAATAAGAACGGTCTGAGCGCAGATCCTTGGTGTAACCCCATAACTACCGGAAAGGGCTCCGAGTCACCTCCTACAGTCCTAACCCGAGTCTTAGCTCCATCATATAAATCCTTTATCGCCCTAATATAAGCTACCGGTACACCTTTCACCTCCAGGCATCTCCAAAGAACGTCCCTAGGGACCTTGTCATACGCCTTCTCTAGATCAATGAACACCATGTGCTGATCACGCCCAACTATGCCTTATAAAAAGGACAATGCGGTCGCTGCAAATATAATCCGGTTTACAAGTCCGGAGTCGAATCCCACAGAGAGTTAACCTATCAACTGCTACCTTCAGACCCACCAAGTCTTCAGAACCAGCTTCCCAAATATTCAAATTCTCAGTTGAGTATTCTTTAATAACTAACTTGCAAGTAAATAAAAGGCTATAACTAAATTAGAAGGGTTGTAAACAATTATGAGAAAAAGCTAAGGCAATGATTTCCCCTATTGATGGAATCCCTTCTGTTTATGCTCATACAAATTTACCCACACATCTCTATCAATCATGAACGCTAATCTTACCGCAAATCTCTCCCGAGTAATCACAGTAATCTACTATTGCACTCTCCCGAGATACACTAGCTTGCTTAATTTCGCACAATTCAATTTAAATTGCACCCAAGGCTTCGTTATTCCTAATCCCTCCTTTACACCCGCAATTATAGATTCCTCTAATAATCTAGGAGTGGTGTTGTTCAACAATACCCTAAATATGCACTCTTTTCCAAGTTATGCACACTAAATAGGCACAGCTAATTGAGGATCCTGTCAATTAACTACAACGAACATGAAGTTGAACAACTAAAGATTTAACTAGCAATTTGTATTCACATAAACAAGAAGTTCATCACCCAATAGGTTCCATCAAAGCCTTAGACAAGGAATTTAGCTACTCATGACTATGGGAGAATAAACTAAGCTTGAATTCATCATAAAATCAAAAGAAAAGAAGAAAGATGTTTAGAGTACTTTCTCACAATTGTTTTTCTTGCTAAGAACCCTTAGAAATCAATACATGCCTCTCTTGGGCGAAGTCTAGCGTTTTAAATAGGGTTTAGGTCTAAAAATCCCGTGTTTTACACTTAAGTCCCCGAAGTTTACTGTGCCCACCGCGGTTCTACCGCGGTCGCGGTAGAACCGCGGTCAAACGCCTTCGCGGAATCTTCAACCTTCAGAGACTGCCTTCCACCGCGGTTTCACCGCGGTCGCGGTAGAACCGCGGTGGAACTTGTACCCGGGCATTTTGGCCTGTTTTGAATGGGCTACTTGGGAAATTCAACAATTAGCCTCTTTTCATCAATAGTTGACTCCAAAACCGCTCCTTAGCCTTCCTTACACCTATATCACCTGCAAATCATGTAAAGCACTAATAAGAGCATTTTGTTGTCATTTTCCACATTAAAAGTTCACAAGAAGGTGATTATTTGGTGCGTGATTATAGTCAAATTCACCTATTATCATGTGCAAATCCCTCTTCTTATCTCTGTACTGTTCCACCAATCTCCTGATAAGATGGATAGCTTCTGTAGTAGAGCGACCCGGCATGAACCTGAACTGGTTTTCTGATATAGACACCACCCTCTTTACCCTCCCTTCCACCACCCTCTCCCAAACTTTCATGGTATGACGTAGTAACTTTATACCCCTATAGTTGTTACAATTCTGGATATCCCCTTTGTTTTCGTACAACAGAATTATCGTACTCCACCTCCACTCATCTAGCATCCTCTTCGTTCTGAAAATAATATTAAACAGCTCAGTCAGCCACTCCAAGCCTGCTTTACCCCATACCTCCAAAATTTTACTGGAATCTCGTCTGGTCTAATCGCTTTGCCCCGGTTCATCTTACGCATTGCTCCCACGACCTCCTCCACCTTAATACGCCTACAATATCAATGCAGAGCAATGACGCTAAGTTATAAAAAAATCAAATTTGATAATATAGGATGAAGCATTTATGGCAAAGTATCAAACGATCGAAATAATTATCCGAAGTTCTTATTAATGAACCGTTTGGTATAAAATTAATGGTTTGGAATGTGATTTCTGTCAAGTACTATCAGTAGTTCCAAAATCGACAAGAAATATAAAGTAAGAACAAATCCAGTATTCAGTGTCTTCTTGCTTCGTGTCAGAAACGAATAAGAGCATTCAAAAAGATGATTTGGTTTTTCCTGAACACTTGGTTATTAATCCCAATGGTTATAGTATTGCATTTAATAAGAAAAATATTTTTATCAATTCAAATCGCATGATAGAATTAAAAAGATATCTTAGCTAGCAGAAATGAATATGTCGATCAACTAAATAAAAGGTTGATTGCAAAGTTTTATAATAAAAAAATATTTTTCAGTTTTTGACCTAGCATGAAATGATACCAATAATTACTACCAAGAATAATACTTAAATACTTTGATACCAAACTACCATATATGTTGTTGTCAAGTTTATTATTTCTTACGTATGTTAGTGTCACCGTATATATAATAGACTAAGTTAAAATTGATCTTCCATTGTATATGGGTTAATTTTGAAAAAAAAAATGTCCATCATGCTACTGAAAAACTTAGATACGCCGAATAGCTTATGTAATAGCACACATATGATATATAGAAGTTTTGACAATAACGTCATACATGCAAAAATTATGATACTCGTCAATGTGCTTCTAAGTTTATTCTTATCCCTGAATTCAACTTTCATCTTCCGAAACAAAGGAACATCCTTTTTTGTGTGAAAATAATTTTAGTATGTTTATGTTTTGCAAATATAACAAATAAAGCACAAGGACAAACATCCTAAATATTGGACTATATTTACCGCAATATATTTTCTTACACAAACAACTGTATGTTGCACTTTCAAGAGGGATATCAAGATCGACAATAAGAGTTTTGGTTAAGGCAGAGCAACCAAAGCATTAGGAGGAAACATAAACAAAAAAATATTATCCACAAAAAGTGTTCGTTAATATACCATCACATTAAATTCTTTTAAACTATAATAGATAATTATCTAACTAATATGACAAAATTAGTCATTTGTGTAAGTTTTGACGATGTCGTTTTATTTTAAATTCATGTATGCTTATGTAATAATATTTTTCGATATTTAGATGATTGTTGTATTATTATACATAAAAATTCTCTCATTAGTTAAATTTTATGTTCCTTTATATAAATAAATATTTAAATCATCACTAATCATTATTAACATTCATAGATACTAGTTTATTATAAATATATTGACGCATTGGCAACTTATTGAAAACGTGTTATCTCGCACGACAATCATGGCTGAACAAAATTATACCTAATTCTGTGATCATAAATGTGAACACCAAGTTTGCGCCTAAATGAACTCAATGAATATAGTCTCTAGCTTCCACTCACGAACATTTATTTAAGGCTAAAAAGAAAAGAGAACAAAAAGATCCAGCAAAAGAGGTGGGACGTGTGGGGAATGTTGACAAGCCTTTTCATTTTTCCATTCTTGATTTTCGAACAGATAATAGCCCTATTAGGTGCAAAAACAAAGAGAATTAAGGAAAACACACCACTTACTAGCTTCAGGCAATACGAAATTCCCTTTTGAACTTTTAAAAAAATATATAATTATGATGTTTTGGCTAGCTTACATGCTTATTGAGTATTCAATTTTGTACCTGCAATCTCCCACCAAGCACAAGTACAAGTAACTTCGCCAAAACAAAGCTTCGAAAGATGGGAAGAATCACCTGAAATTTTTGTCCATTTGAACACTTATCTCCAAAGTTTTCTCCCACTTTATTGACCTCTATACTAAACCCTTAAATGCCAGCATGTCCTTGAACTTTACACCCTCCTAATAGTAAATGACAGGGAAAACTTTACAACAACTAAGTAGTACAAAAAATTTAACTTAGACTTTCAAATGATTTACCGGCCTATGTTACTATTTCCCCAAAAAAAAGGAAAGAAAGGAAACAGAAGCTATCCGCCATTTGGAGAGACAATTTTTCTTGATTCCAATTCTTTCACACTTTTAACAATGTCATTAATGTTCTTTGACAGTTGATCTGAGTGATCCTCCATATCTTTCAAAACCATATCTAGCTGCTCTTGCAAAACAGCAGATCTTTTACGCTCCTTCTGTAACTCTGCTGTTAATTCCCGGATCTTGACATCTTTATCATCCTGAAATTGGTCCATCGAATATCAAGAACAGCACAGGCACATTACACAATCAAACTGTTTTTTCTTCTAAACAAGATTATATTGCCTAATGGGAAAGAACGGAGGAGAGGGGGAAGCAATGACAAAGCACTAATGGAATCTTAGAAGAATTTAGCTACAAACCTTAAAGCGGTGATAAATCGCTAATGGAAATATTAGAAGAAATTTGCAACAAATCTTTGCCATTTTAACTGCAATTCATGTATCCATTGGGTTTCTGTGATTGCAGTACTACACACATTTCTTTTGGGTTCAATTTACATCTGCCAACTAAATGTATAACAAACTAATGCTCTATTCACGCAACGAAAGAGCCCCTCTGGCACCAGTTGGTCATATGCATTCATTATTCCAAAGAGCAGTTACCACATGTGGAAAACCATACACGCACAATATGCAGATATCAGTATTAAATTATTCCAGTTGTGTGACTTTTACAGTATAAAATAAGGAAGACAGAGCGATTATACAAAGCCAAGCCTTTAGCCTACCAGCCCAAAAAGGTGCAGCGATTTTGCCACGAAATTCTGCTTTTTTTAAGTGCATTAAGTAGGATAATCTCATATACCAGCATTTTCGAAAAGCTATGGAAAATATCAGAATCAATGTGGACTAAGGAAAGAACAAATAGAAGCAAAGGAGCCACGTGAGTGATAGCCACCAGTTGAGAGATTACAACTTAGTCGTGTCGGAACACCAACATTAAGTCTGATGTCTGCTAGGGGTGTTTTTAGTTGGTTTGGAATTTGAATACTAGTGTAAAGATAAGTGTAAATTAAAAATACTCAAGCGAAGAAAAAATACTATATTTGAAGACAATTTTATTGCTCTTTGAAGCAATATCAGGTCTTCACATAAATTATGCTAAGAGTCGGATTCTTTCAGTAAACGAGGTGCCCAACATTAAGAGTCGGTCAATACATACAAACACAATGTGGGCTAATTGCCAACTAAATATTCAGGTATGCCTTTGGATGCCATTCACATAGAATACAATATTTGGGAAGGGGTGATTGAAAAGTGTGAAAAGAGACAAGCAAATTAGAACAGACCATACTTATCTTGGGGGAGGGTTGGTTCTAATTGATAGTTTCTGCACGCACTAACGACTTATACTATGTTGCTCTTTCCTCTACCAAAGAAGGTGGAGAAGAGAATCGATAACTTAAGGAGGGATTTTTTGTGGCAATGAAACAACGATAAAAAGTCTTTCGATCTGGTTAAGTGGGAATGTGACATCGGCAAGAAGGAAGGCGGCTTGGGAGTCAAGAATCTAAGGGTACACAACAGTAGTCTTCTTATGAAGTGGTTATGGAAATTTGCAATGAGTGCAGGCAAATGATTAGAGAGAAGTACAAGATAGAAAATTCTTGGATAACGATACCATCGAGGCACTCATATGAAGCTGGGAATTGGAAAAAATGAGAAACTTATGGAATATATTCTCAGAACACATGTACACCAAGGTGGACAATGGTAGAAAAACTTTATTTTTGAAAGAAAGATGATTAGGACATAGCGCCTCAAAAATCAGTTCCCTACCATTTTCAACATAGTAAATAATCACAATGCGACTGTAGAAGATTAGTGGTCTACCCAAGGATGAAACATTTCCTTGAGAAGGTGTAATTATTTGGAAATGGAGGAAATGAGTAGTTTTTTGCAGATGATAGAAAGTTTTCAAGTACAACAGTTAATTCCAGATAGGATAGTTGAAAGGAACAAGGGCGTGGCCTTTACTCAATGAAGTCTGGATATCAAGTTTTGTCCCAAAATAGACAACAAGAAGTATGGCCATGGAAATCGATATGGAGAAATAAGCACCTTACAAAGTAGAATGTTTTTCATGGGTAGTGGCCAGAGAGGCTTGCTTGACTCAACACAATCTACAAAGAGATATAACTATTTGCAACAGATGTATAATGTGAGATGAAGATTATGAAGACGCAAAACACTCATTCATCCATTGCAGAATCACAAACCAGATCTGATACATGCTCTTGAATTTGCTTTAAGTTCAATGGTGCGAGCCAGAATCTCCTAAAGACCTGCTGCATTGTTGGAGTTGAAGAGGACTAACGAAGGACGACAAAAAATTGTGGAACACCAGACCAGCGGCAATATAGTGGACTATATGGAATACAAGAAATCAGAGATACTATGAAGACAAAAAGGAGAATATTTGTAACTTAAAGCACATATGTTTATGTCTTTTAGCCTTTCAGTGAGAAAATGAGAATGTACGCGAAGTAGATAGTACTCATCATTACACTCTTTGGATGCTATTCTTTAATTAAATTTTCACTACATTTTCAAAAGAAAAATTAGTCAAGTGTTATAGAACTCCTAATTTTGTCTTAAAAGGACAATTATTGAATATTTGTATGAAGTTAGCCAAATGAGCGGAATGGATATAGATGATTCCAAATAGTTTGGGATTGAGGCATAGTTGTTGAATATGAAAAGAACAATTTATCAGGATACAGACTTATTAATCAATAAATCTAGCTGATTAAGCTGAATATGTATGACAAGAGGCAACTAACCAAGAGATATCAATTAAGCTTACAATTTGAGAGTGGATCACTTAGTCACCAATGATTTATGCACTACCCTAAGAACCTCAAATGATAGCCACATATCAGATCTAAGATAAAGAAAGTATTTGTAATAGATCCTTCATGGATTGGGTACATACGTTCACATATTTCCCGCCACTGTCTATGGTCCAACCAATAGCTATCTGAGCCTATATCAACAGAAAGGAAGGGGAATTTGCGCTCAGATACTGGCTGAAAGCAAGGTTATAATCTATGTTGATAAGGCCCTGTGAGGATCCAGGTAGGACATGAGTCCGAGTTAAAGACAATTTCTAAACACAGGTGTTCAGGGTCATACTTGTTGCAAATGTTGGCCCAGAATGTACATTAGACAAATGTATCATCCTCCACTGAACAAAAGGAACATTACCTAGTCAAGCAGACACATAGTGCCAGTTAAGTAGACCACCCTTTGTTTGACTAACAGTACTGCAACTGTAATACCCTTGTTGACAAATGAATAGACAGATGCAGAATATTGACTTAACATGTCAGCTGACATGGACTGATATCAGAGTCCTTGAGACATGATGGTGCATGGGACAGACAGACTACTGGAGCTAAGACTTCAAGCCTGATGTGCGAAGGGCTGCGAAAGGGGATCTTCACCGTTGTATTCGTCTTGAGGACTAATAACAGAATCGGGTGGAATGAGGGAGGACAAACAAAGATAGACACTAAATAGATGTGGTACCGCTCTAGCAGTCACCAAAAACAGACAGAATTGAAAGACTTTGTGGAAATAGAAAAAGAAATGTTTGGTTGGGAGGCCAGTCTTGTCTTAGGTGGAAGCTATGTAAGTCTGGGGATTGTGTAAGCACGGATATCATATGTAAACAATAGAAAAGAGTTAGCGAAGTGGTGATTAACACAACATAATAGGGCTCCTTGTACAAGAGATCTGAAGAAGTTTCTTAATTCTTGTGAATCTTATATTTGGAGAGTAATGTGATCTGAACTTTTGAACCAAGAATCCAGAGCCAAAGGAAGAAAACAGCATAGTCCAAATTACCTTGTTCACCCAAAAACTTTCCGACAATTACCTTGTTCACCCAAAAACTTTCCAACAAAGTTCGTGAAATGTGTATTTGCTACCTCGAGAACACCGCAGATCATATTGTCTAAGCGGTTAATCGATCATAAGAGTTGAGTCTCTCATGCATTCTTCTTCCCTCGGCTCTGGTTCTTGATTCAAGAAATCTTAGATCACATGACCGGAATAGACATCTGTTCTGTTTGACTTTAAACAGTAACAAATTTTTGGTTCTCCTGTAGTTTAGCCTTTTATTATATGATAAGAGAAAGGATTTCACAATGTCATTGCAATAGAGCAATATCTCCTTCACTAACAAGCCCTTTGTGCTCCATAGCAAGGAAGCTGCTTGCAGGATAAACATTTTCGACTAGAAGTTTCTTTAAATTCCTAAAGCTAGAAGTATTGCCGAACAGAATCCAACAAGACGTTCTTTGAATAGCTTCAATAATTTAGTGTAAATATGAATATCTAGTAAGGAAGGGGTAACAATAAATGCATTGCAAGAACTAGCTTATTTTCCATGGAGAAAGTCACGCCACACAAACAGGCATCCTAAATAGCAGTGAACTAAATATTTGTAGATGAGGATCATTATTGTCATCAGGTAAGAACTCAAAGACGGGAAAGACTTGGAAGGGGTGATTATGTTTTAGCAACAAAGCGGAACAAGAAAGTAGAAGTTGTCAACTTAAGTCTCAACCGGTAAAGTAAACCGTCGACTTCTGCTCTAATAAATGTGAGAAAAAAGAGAAAGGAATGATGGCAATAAAGAGAAATGCATTTCATACAAAACAGTGTGTAGAGAACTTGAGAAGTAGCTGTGTAGAGAGAATTTTCTTTATATATGTCAACAACCTGATTTCAAATTTCATCAATTAGTTTGAAGTACTTACCGGTGTTTGACACAAGATTGAACCTATGCGGGTATTAGCAGGTTTAACAACCAGGGGATGATTGTGTTCCTTCACTAATTTAGCAACAACCCATTTTCCAGATTGTTCTTTCTTCACTATTATCATGGCCTTACATCCTTCCCTAATTGCTCTGCACTTCCTTTGTCCATTCTGATTTTGTCTACTTTTACTGAAACCCTCTTTATTACACACAAGTCGGCGCCACACCAACTCCCCATTACGCATAGATCGACGAAATGCATCTACTCTCATGACAAACCCCAAATGTGTCGCATATGTGCTATAGTATGCTTTAGCAGCTTCTTCTGATTCAAATTCCATACCCACATAAGGTTCCAAATTCGGACGCCCTTCAGCTTCAACACCATTTCTGGTCAACTCCATCCCACTAGAACTCAAGACCATCTCCCCATCATCTGCTGTAGTATTGTTTTCATCCACTGCCATGACACAAGAGCAAAATACAGAAGCAGAATATCGTGAAACAAATATCAGACACTATCTGTTGCTACCTACAATAGCACAAATTTAATAGATTGTCGTTTCAAGATCTACATTTGCATTGCAGAAATGAAAGTGGCAGAAGAAAGAAAAAGGGAAAATCTCTTCTTTTTTTCTTTTTCTGCAAATTTGGTTAAGGGGATATGCTTCAAATTCCATACCGACATAAAGTTCCATATTCAAACGCCCTTCAGCTTCAACACCATTTGTGGTCAATCCCTTTCCACTTGAACTCTCTACCATCTCCGCATCATCTGTTGCATAATTGTTTTCATCCACTGCCATAACACGAAGGCAAAGTACAGAGAGCAGAATAAGTTTGTGAAGAAAATGAGACACTATACGTGGCTAGGTAAAATAGCACAACTTTTATAAACATTAAAATCGTTTTAAAGAAAAGAAAGTGAGAGAAAGGAAAAAATGGGAAAAACTCTTCTTCTTTTTTCTCCGTAAATTTGATTAAGGGGTTGCCCCCCAGGACTTAGTTCAAGTGGTAAAAGGTTGAGAGACTTGTGACTTAGGCACAGGTTCGAGCCCTGCGCCATGCGAACTAAGTCTGGTATTTAAGTAGAGAAGGGTGAAGGGCAAGTGTTACAAGCATTTGGGACTCAATAGGCAACTCGGTTAGTTGGAGCAGCAGTTCAGTTAGTTGAAGTAGTTAGCCACATCAGCATGTTATAAGCTGTTAAGAAGAAGTTAGAACTTAGAACTGAAAATGTAAATAGGTATCATCTGTATTTTATTGATCATTCAATTGTACATTTCATGACTGATATGAATAAAACTCTCTCCCTTCCTCTCTAATTCCTTCTCTGTTCTACATTCTCCATTGCTGTACAGCTCGAGCACTGCTCCTGCCACAGTATTTCTCTTCTTGAACAGGTGAGTTCCTGAAGAGTGTATTAGGCGCGCCCACTATCCTCGAGTTTCAAAGGTGGCGGTTGGTCCAGATGGATTTCTCAATCATCAATGATTAGGGGTTTGTGACAACTTGAAACTTTAATCCTAAATCTGCGAGCCTAATTCAACCAATTCGTAACAGTGATCTATGTTGTGCCAATTCAGAAAGAACCAGAAGTTCTTGTTTCAGCCACATCATTTTTCCTGTATCCACTTTCCAAATTATGTACCAACAAGTCCTACATAACACAAAATCTCACCAACGACCAGAATTTTATCGTCGCAAGTATATAAGCAAACCTTACAACCAACGAAACACTAATATGTATTAACTCCTTTTGATAATTCCTTCAAATTCTTGGTTTAAATTAGTTATTTACATCTATGAATTTAGCAATTAACTAAAATAAAATAATGGAAATGTGCTTTTACAAGAAATGCGGCTACTTACTAGTACAATACACAGATCGAAAATCCAATTGTCACTGATAAATGTGCTGCTTCTGGTTAGAGACTCGAGCAGGTTGTGTGCGCTGAAAAGGGGGAAGTGTCTTCTCCGAATTTTTGCAAACACCACGTAAAGTTAAAAACTTAAACAAATATTTTGCTTTTAGTTTTTCCATTACATGGAATTTAACACCCTCAATGATACGACTAAATTATGACAATGGTTCAAATTGATGAAATGACCCTTCAAAGATTGTCTTTTTTTTTTTTTATATCCTTTACATGCAGAAATAAAGATTATTAATTTGACATAAAAAAAAAAAAAAAAAAAACATGTGCAGTAAACCCAATTGACCCACAAATGACAAGATTGGGTTGCTCAAGTGGTGAGCACTCTTTATTTCCGACCAATAGGTTGTAAGTTCGAGTCACCCAAGAGCAAGGCGGAGTTCGAGTCATCCCACGAGCAAGGTGGGGAGTTCTTGGAGGGAAGGAAAAAAAAACAGAAGTGAAACAATCTATCATTCAACAATGATTGACACTGGCACTTCTTGGTAACAATCATGTATTGATCAAGCTTTCCTTGCTTGAAGAATATGTTCACTTGTTATCAAAGCCTGGTTTCTACTTGAAAGCTCAAGGGTAGATGTGGCAGATGAGGTGTACGAAGTGGAACCCTTGGTGAACTTCTAATGAAGAAACACCTATTGCAATAGCGTGGATTAGCTTTCCTGAGCTGCCTCCAAACATTTTTGGTAAGAAATTTGTGTTTTCCTTGGCTAGTGCAGTAGGGAGGCCTCTACATGTTGATTTAGTTACTCAAAATGATACTAGACCTAGTTGTGTGAAGGTTAAAGTGGAGGTGAATTTGTTAGCTAAATTCCCTCAAAGAATAAAAATTATGGAGAAAGAGGATGATACTGGACCAGAAGAATCAAAGTGGATAAAAATCACGTATGATTATATGCCTAAGTATTGTAAAACTTGTAAGAAACTAGGTCACAATGAGGTGGATTGCTAGGTAATTCATCCTGAATTAGACAAGAAATTTGATGAAGTCCTTGAGGATCAATGTAAAGGAAAGTAGGCAAAGGAGATAGTGAGAATTGCTGCTGCTACTACAAAAGTCCCATCAAGTGGTAAGGTATTAGGAAAGGCTCCTCCTAACAATGCAAAATAGGAGTGGATGCAAAGAAGACAAAACATGTATCAAATGGATAAACGAGGTCATATTATTGATGGTGCAAATGATAATGAAGGTGTCAAGGGTAAGGGAAAAAACAAGGAAGATGTTGTGGTTTCAAAGAACTCTTTTGATGCATTGAATGTGCTAGAAGAGGAGAGGGAAACACTAACGATCACCGATGGCAAAGAGGCTGAGGTCTCGAGGGAGTTGGAGAACAAAACAATGAAGCTACAAAAGTCCAATCCTAATCCTAAGGAGAATAAAATTAATGATGTTCCTACTGCTTACTACAACAACAACAACCCAGTAAAATTCCATTACTGGGGTCTGGGGAGGATAGTGTGTACGCAGCCTTACCCCTACCCCGAAGTAGTAGAGGGGCTATTTCCGAAAGACCCACGGTTCAAGAGAACAAAAAGACAAAAGGAGACAATATTAGTAGCAACAAAGAAATCATATGAAAAACAGGAACAACACAAAATTCAGAAGAAAGATGCAAAGCAAAAACGATAGCTAGTAAATAGCTCCTGTGCTGAAAAGTGAAATAGTAAGACACAACATTGCCACTAACTATCTTAGACAAAAACCCTACCAGACTGGTCTCGCAATGGTACAAAGAAAGGAAAGACTCACACTACCTCCTAACCTACAACCCTAATACTCGGCCTCCACATCTCCCTATCCAGTTGTCGCGCCCCCTTTTTTCCCCTCCTCGCGAGGAGAAGTCCGGGCTTCGACATTCACGGGGTGTAATGACTCATTTTCTTTTAGGAATTGGGTATTTGAAGATTCGCTACCTAACGGATTATGGTGCGTTAGGGCACCTAGAGCGATTAACTCTTGGGTTGGTTTGCATTACCAGAGATTAGGGTAAGGGCTCGAAGTAACCTCGAGGGGAAGGTGTTAGGCACCCCTCTTGGTCCATAACTGTGGGTCCCGACCGAACTTATATTCACAAATTAGTCCATAAATAAACAATTGAAGCAAGTAATTGCAAGTAGAGCATGTTGGGCATTGTATAAAAATAAGAATTTAAACAGGTTGTGAAAGAGAAGGAAAAAAAAATGAAGTTTCAAGCAAAAGGATTTGGGGGAGAGGGAGGTCCTAGGTTGGTTAGCCTATAGGATCATCAGTACAATGCCCGGTAATCACTCCTTGAAAAGGGGCTACGCGTGGCATTAGCGCACCGGTCATCATATCCCCGTCTACCCTTCCCATCCCCTTATTGGTCATGCAAAGCGAGTGTCGGTCACGGATTCCTATTGCGTGCTGCTACCCGTCCTTTCTTAATGGTCCTTGAGGGAGTTAGGACCTCTACCTATAGGTAGTTCTAGACAAACCCCTAAGGTTTTCAAGGTGAAAATTCTAAGGCGACAAGCAAAACAATTAGGACTTTGAGCAAACAAGAATAGGAAAGAGTAGATAAAGGCTCAATTTTCCTCCACAAGTAAACGTACAAGCAGCACGACTCAAACACAGTTAAGGTCTCTATTAATCAAAGTCCTAAAATAGGATCTCTAAGTGACGATGCGAAAATAGACCCCATTTTATACCCAAAAAGTTATAATCTAGAAGTTGCCTAGGGATTCTTTTTAAAATTATTAGAATCAGAAACATTGAACAGCGGAGAAAGAGCTTCAGGGGAGTGCAGTTTTGAAAATGACCTAAGGCTTGCTTATATGCAGCATACTGTGTCTATATTAATGCAGAGACAAACAAGTTTTCGAAATAGACTCCTTTAATACCTATAAGCATGGTATCTAATGGGATCAATGCAATTTTGAAAGAACTTGTTTCAAAAAATGCTAACGCTTAGTAAGGCCAGTTTTAGAAATGAACTAGGCGTGATGAAGTTGATTTATTAGGCCAAACTAAATCACCAGATAGAATAGCGAGTGTAGATCCCTATAAACATGGTATTTAGGCGTATTACTGATTTTAGCAACATACAGAAAGACTTATTAGAACTGAATCGGAGTTGAGTCCTATCGGCATGGCATCTATATCTGAATTGATTTAAGGCATGATTGTTTGGGACCTATAAACATGGTCTCTAACATGACAGAATGCAAAACTTTATGAACATGATTTCTATCTGATGCAAACGAAATTAGAAGTGAGATCCTATAGGCATAATTTCTATTAGGCAAGGAAATCAGATTTAAAAGAGTAAATCCCTACGAGCATATTTTCTATCGCGCAAAGCAGACAGATTTAAAAAGTAAGATCCTAAGATCAGGATTTCTACCCATATGACCCCATAAAGTATACATCTACCCACCCTTTTTACTAAATACCCCCAATATCTGTTTACAAATTATTACAGGCCAATGAATGAATTACATAAGTAAAAATAGAAAATCAAGAAGCTATTCTATAGGGAGCCTACAATTAGGCCCAAGTTTTCCAAAGCCTCCAATGGTCTCGTAAGCCTCAATTCTATAGACAAATCAGAGTCTAGGTGCATCAAAGTTCCCTAAGGGCCTCAAGGACCCCGGACAATGCTTACACCTAGACTTAGCAACCAAGAATTGAACAAGTGCAGTGTGGAAAGGCCAGCCTCAGTATGCTAGAGTTCAGAGGGCTCTCAAGAGGATCCCAAGGCAGTACACATACTAGAGGGGGCAGAACTTATTGACTAAGAGTAAAGTGGAAGTGTAGGGCACGAGTTGGAAAAGGTTATTAAAGACTGTATTTGAAAGTCTATTTTGGAAGCAATTAGTAAAGCAACAAAGATTGTTTGAAAAGAGGTTGGAGTAATAAACAAACTTAAACACCTTAAGAAAAGATCACACAGCTAGTTTGCAGAATTCAGTACTCATACAAGGGTCAAGGGATTGGGGATACATAGACATTTTGGCTGCACAACCCAGCAAGGATCTTAAGACTGGTTTGGACATGCTCAGAGATAGTTAACTCTGGCATAATCACACACTAGTCAGGAGAAATACAAACACATAGAAGTGGTGATAAGGATTCGGGGATTCATAGGATGGTAAGCATACAAGAAATAAAAGACAATTGATAAGCATGCTTTGAAACACACATAAGGGGATACATTAATCCAGCGGGAAGGGGAGACATAACAACATGTTGATAAGGCAACTTAACTACAAGTTCCACAATAGAACCACAAGTAGAAGCAAACTAGGAATAAAAGAAACTAAAACAGTAAGAGAAGCATATTATTGTTGGAACTTTAAATGAAAACTAGGACATACCAGTGAAGGTAGAAGTAATCAGAATGAAAGAACCAAGAGTACAGATGATTAGCCTTGGCTTTCAGCTGGCTAACAATAGCAAGTAGCACAAAAGAGGAGGAGAGCAGAGGTTTTTAGTAAGAGAGGTAGTTTTTTGAAAACCAGTGTCTCTGTGTGTGTTAGTGAAAGACTAGAGTATTTATAGTTGAAAATAGGTAGTAAATAAGGTAAGAATCATAGTAGCATGGTAATTAAAGAACTCAGAATCAATCAATTAGAAAATCAAGGAAGTACTCCCTTAAGTTAAGGGAATCAAATCAAATGGGAAGATTCAGTATCATATAAGGCAAGAAGAAAAATCAGTGCATGACTAAATAAGGAAGGGGTCAAGGTTCAGTAAGCATAGAGTAGTCGATTAGGACTAAATTCATAAAACCTCAATTAAGGAAATGACTTAGTAAAAATAAAGTACCATAGCAAATAAGGTAATGAAATCAGTCAATTTAAACAAACGAGTAGAATTTTAGGGTTTTAAAAGAAAACCTTTCAATCAAACCATCAATTAAGGGAATCAGAATCAATCGAGAGTGAGTCATGATTCTGTACTTTAACATATAAATAGAGAAGATCAAATAGATGTAGCGAACAGGCAAGGCCAGCAATATCGACAGAAATAGGCAAGAGATGAACACTCAAGATAAATACAATCACATAGAGGTGATATAGGTAGGTTAAGGACTCAGTAAAACCCATTCGAAGCATGGTAACCACAGAAGCATTAACAAGAATCAAATAGTCAGGCTAACACACAGAACCAAGCT